AAAATCTATGAAGAAAATTAGTTTAAAATTTAATTTTAGAAAATTCTATATTTATAAACTATTGGTATTGAATATTAATAATCATACAAAGTTACAGTAGGTTATACAAGTTTCTAAAGCAACCATATTATTTAAACTTACAATGACTAATACTTTGGTTGCGTCTGGTTTAAAAACTAACAAAGAAATACTACACAAGTAAGTTTACATTCGAACTATAATAACTAATATATACATAGTTACTACTTATAACTTAGCCAACATGACCAGCATATGAGTAACATCTTCTAAATTTTTCTTTAAATCATAAAGTATGACGAAGTTTTGAATCAAATTCAAACTGAAATGTATCTTGATAAACTATTCGAATCAAATCATGAATAAACCACACAAAATATAAAAACAGTGATAATGTGAAGACTACACACCATCTTACATGTCTGAAAACAAAAACTATCAAATAGTTGACTGCAAATAAAACAGATCTTATTAACTGAATATAGATATAACATAATATTCATAGAAGATCTGATAGAAAAGTAAAAAGCAGCTTTACATGAGTATTGTAGCATTCTAACAAAATTAAATCTAAATCAACATGAATCATATAATATATATACATAGATACACAACATCAGTGAGACATTTAATCAACATACAGATATCCTAAGGACACAAAACAAAACACCAAAAAATTAGTAAGGAAATTATTCTCTAAATCAAACGTATGCACTTAAAAGTTGGATAATTTGTTTAGATGTTATTACTATGATTTTACTTCATAATATTTATAATTTTATAATAAAAATAGGTATAATTACATATTATTTTTTAATTTTTTATATAAAACTAAAATTTCTATAAATATATTATATTTTTGATAATTTAGATATTATTCAAAAAAAATTAAACAAAATTATTAATATAGACTCGCTCGTAGCACGAGTTAAAAGCCTAGTAATATATAAAAGTTGATGGCATAGTGTATTGAGGGTGTCCACATGGGATTAAAAAACTCGATATGATTGGTCCACATCAGCATATTCATTAAATAAAAAAAATAGTAAGTATGATTAGGACGGAAAAACTTGATTTAACTGGTCCACATCAGCTTTTAAATCAAACCAAAAATTATTAAGTATAATTAAAACATTAAAAGTTAATTTAACAATTTATGTCCAACAAAAAAAAAGTAAATTCAATCTGATTGATCCAAATCAACATATTTATTAAATCAGAAAATCTTAATATGGTTTAAAAATTTAAAAGTTAAATAAAAAAATTAACAATACATGTATAAAAAAAGTAACCATTATCAATTATCAATTTAAAAAAATTTACAACAACTCGATTTAACAATTAAAACAATGAAAACTGAATAAAATTATAACATAAAACTCTTGAAAGACAGGAAAGAGAAGGAAAAATGGTTTTGCATGATCATTACAGCTTCCTAACAAAAGTAAATTCGAATCAACATGAATCTTGAATTATATATACAGTGGTACACAACATCAATAAGACTTTCAATAAAAAAACTAAATATTTAAACACATAAACTTTGAAGAAAAAAATAACTATAGAAATTCTATGGAAAATAAAAAATAATACCAAAATCTTAGCAAGATTATATTTCTCTAAATCAAATGTATATGTACGTCAAAGTTAAATAATTCTATAGGTGTCATTATTATTATTTGACCTAATAGTTTTTAAAAATTGATAAATAAAAATAAGATAAATTACACATTATATATTAAATTATCTTATATAAATGAAAATTTCTATAAATATATATATAATTTTTAATAATTTTAAAGAGAGTAGCTAAAAAAAATAAACCAAAATATTAATATAGACTTGCGCGTAGCTCGAGTTATATACCTAGTATTATTAATTGGCAAGCAAGTTGGACTGTGGTTGAGAGTTATGATGGTTGATTACTTTTTGCTGCTTATGTGAATTTACTTTAATTATCCTTAATGAAAATTAACAAATTAATCTAATCTAATTTTTAATTGATTTTCGTTTTTTTTTTAAATCTAGATTTCCAAATTCGAGTTTATATCATAAAAATATTCAGTTTACTAAAAAAAAGTAACTAGCATAATTAAAAAAAAATCTAATTATTTTATTAAACTAATTTTAATTTGATTGTTTAACCTACTAATATTTTTGACTAACCTAATTGATTTATGCGACCACATGTAAAACTCTAAATTATTTAAACCTTTTAAAACTATATATATATTAATTAATATTAATTTGATATGAAACAAGAATTTTTTGGTTTTAGTCATTTTGGATTGCTATGTTTTTTTTCTATGCAAACTTTGAATATCATACAGCAAAAAAACAATATACTCATGAAAATTGTATTTTCTTCAAAATATATTAAGTTTGGTTTCGGATCATTAAAAATCTGATTTTTTTATCTATAAATAAACTAATGTTATACTTTTAAAAAAATTTAATCGAACCCCGCACAAAGTGCGGAGAAACACCTAGTTACATGTGTTTATAATATAAAATATCAGTTGATAACTTATTGAACAATATAAAATTGAAGATTCTATTTGAAAACTCCAATTTTAAAACTGATCAGACAAAAAGAAGAAATAGAAAAGAGAGAGAGAACAAAAAAAACTCTTTTAAAATTGTTGATTTTATAATTTTAGAGTTTTTATTTGATTTTGATTTTGATTTTTAGAGTGGTTGAGTGAAGGTTCGTAGATGAGATCTAAAAATTAAAATTTCACAAAGATATGAAAATTTCTTGTTAAATTCAATAAAAGTATATTAGAAAACTTATTTGATCAAAAGTAAATAAAAGCAAGAAATAATACTCGTAGTCAGTAAAATGACTTTTTATTTTATTTTAGAATTGTAGAAAGTAATCTTTTATATAATTTTTTCAGTAAATAAAAGGATTTTAAACTAATTATACTTATCAAATTAAAAATCATTGATTTTGGTGATTCAAGTGAAAGATAGATTTAGGAGGTGTTATTGGTTCTTGTATTTTAATGGATTTGAGAATCCAAACCAAATTTAGTGTTATTGGTTCATGTATTTTAAAATTTATATTGAAATACAGTGTTATTGGTTCTATGATTTTAAAATCCATAATGAAATACAGTGTTATTGATTCATCATTTTAGAATCTAAATATTATAAAGATTTGAGTTTTAATTGAATTTGAATGGATTTGGAAGGATTTTCATGACTAAAATACAAAGACCCAAATACAAGGTCTAACATTGGTATTTGAGTGGATTTGATTTTTTTCCATTTTGATGATTTTGAAATCAATAAATTTATCAAATCCAAAGAAGATTTATAAATCCACCAAAATACAAGAATAAATAACCTCTACTTACATTTTTTTGAAAATGGGTCTCGGATTGGGTTAGCTCGGTCATTGAGTTGACTCAGTATTTTCATACATTATTAATTCTAATTATATATATAGCTATTGGGTTCGGTTTCACTATGTTCAAGGATAGCGTGATACATGGGCACCAAACCATCATAAACACTAACACGACTTGTTAGCTTGGCCAACAACTCCCTACCGTATTGTTTCTGGGCAGTTGGCGGGCTTTCCGAATCACGCATTACCAACACACCTGCTTCTCTGGCACGCCGAACGGATAGGACAGGACGGGAAAGACTTGTATAAAAGGAGAGGTACTGTTAGAAGACAGAGAGAGGGGGGACCCGAAAAAGAGACAAGAGGAGAGAGAGCACAACCGAGAGGGAAAGAGGTAGAGATCAAAGGAGAGACCTCCTTGAGAGTCCGACCTAAACATAAAGAATCCGACCCCGTCCCAAACAAGCCAGACCACGATGTAGCATAGTCGGAAGGGAACATCTCGTTCCCCCGAGATAACGCCAAATAGGATAAGTCCCTCTTTTACCTGGAACCATGCATTTATATTCGCTACTTCTCTTGTCTTTATAGAACCCTTATGAAACACCCTCTAAACTGAAAGGCGTCCTGATCCTCGGACGAGATGTCTAATCTTAAACTCGTAGAATCACCCTCCTAAGTATCCGTTTTCGATAGGACGTTTATTGACTTGGGCGTCAGAGAACTTTCGGGAGGGAAACCTCCTTTCGATCCCGTGAAGGCCCGACTGACCTCTCATTTAAGTGCTAGAACAAGTTCTCGCTGGTGCCTATGACACGAGCATGCTTCCGCTTCGGAACGACTCATCGCCTTTCTCCCAGAAAACAAAACTTGGAGACGGGGCTCCACTACCCAGATAAATTATACATTCCACATGGCATTATGTAAAATGCTCTCGAACAATAGTTAAATAGTTTTTAGCATTTTTTAAAAGAACAATTTTTTTAATTATTTCAAAAAACATACTTTCTTTTTTATAAAAAGTGTTGTTTTAGAGTTTTGTTTTTGTTTCACAAAAAGTGTTGTTTTGTATTTTTAATACAAAATTTTAAATAAAATCAAGTTTTAATCTTGTTATATCAGTGTATTAATTAGAAAAAGAAATTTATTTAATATATTTATAAAAAATAGAAGAAACTTTTTATTAAATTTTTTAATTTGTGTAAAAAATATCGGAGTAACACTCTTTATTAAATAGAAAAAGTAATTCTAATATAATATTATAGAAAGAATAAAAAAAATCAGTTTAACTCGGCATACATATTATACCATGGAACCGAACTAAATTTTTGTTTGTTTATAGTTCGACAAGATGTTTTTCCAACCCAAACAAACGGAATCAACTGAACCGTAAAGTCTAGAATAAATCAATGACACTTAATATTAAATTTGTTTTTTATTTTTTATGAAGAAATTTCTTCTTGGTAACTTTCGAGAATATAGGTTTTTTCAGACCAAATGTCATATCGTCCCTACTTCCACTCTTGACAAAAACTCTCTCTACTCTCATTTCGTCTTCAAGATTTTCACTCCTTCGGTAAGGTCGTTGAAACAGTAACCCAAACCTCGCCGCCGGAAAAAAATATCGATGGAGCCTTCCCTGAGAGCAAACCAATCGTCGATTCTAAGCGAAATCGAACGTATGCCAGAAGCGCCACGTCAGCGTATCTCTCATCACCGTCGAGCTCGCTCCGACACTTTCTTCTCCGGCGAATCAATCGACGATCTACTCCTTTTCGATCCTTCTGATGTAGACTTCTCTTCCCTCGACTTCCTTAACTCCCCAACACCACCACCGCAACAACCACAGCAACCATCTCCGATGTCCGTCGATTCTCCCTCCGAAGAAACCTCATCCAACGGTGCTCCTCCGCCGATTCCTCTTCCTCCTGGCCGTCACGTTCGCAGTTTCTCCGTTGATTCCGAGTCCGATTTCTTGGACGATCTAACAACGGCCACGGAGGATAATCATCCATTCGCCGGGAAATTAGCTACAGGTGAGAAGAGAGGTCATCATCGGAGTAATTCAATGGACGGAGCTACGAGTTCGGGATCGTTTAACATTGAATCGGTTCTCGCCGCCATGAGTTTCAAAGACGGTGGTGCTAAGAAGAATATGGGTATGGGTAGTGATAGACTTGCCGAGCTTGCTTTGCTTGATCCCAAAAGAGCTAAACGGTAAAGTATTCATCAGAAATTAGGGTTTATCGTATTTGTTTCCCCCCAAAAATATACTTTGCTTTAATTCATTTTCTTTGTGGATGATTCTTGATTAGGATTCTAGCGAATAGACAATCTGCGGCGAGGTCGAAAGAGAGGAAGATTAGGTATACTGGTGAGCTGGAGAGGAAAGTACAGACACTTCAGAACGAAGCAACTACACTGTCTGCTCAAGTCACTATGTTGCAGGTATGACTTGGTCAAGCAGACGACATCTTTAAAGCCATTGTCTTTATGCATTCTGCTATCTTAATTTGACTTGTATTTGATAAGATATGGTGACGGTGGATAGTATTTTTGTGCTAGTTTTTCGTTTGGTTGATTTCTGAATTCTGATAGTTTATAACTTGTAATTGATACCTAGTTGTGTTTGAGATTGCTTCTTGGTGTTTAGAGAGGACATGAGGTTTTTAATCGGAACAAGTATATGATAGGTACTAGAATATACTATAAATAAGAGGAGGAGGAAACAGATTAGGTCTTTGACCGATTGGTTAGTAAGAAGCCTTTAGGCTTTGGAGAGTTGATCTCTAGAACAAACTCTAGGGTTTGTTTTTGTGTTCGTGATTGTTAACTAACATTTCACATGATCAATAAAGCAAGAATTTTGTTTGGTTATACATGCAGTATTATAAAATCTCATGTCATTGTCAATTTGTCATGTTAATTCAACCAATATGTGACATATGTGCAATAGTATAATGAAAAATGCAATTGGCTTGCACTACAGTGATAAAGGCAACGGAGAACTAAAGATAAAAATGATTCTTAACCCATGAGCATATTTCGTGTATTGCGTATTTCTGCGTGGCGGTTTTTGACGAGAGCAAGAGGAGCAAATGATCAGGGCCAAAAAGTTTGAAAAGTTTTTAAGACCAAAATATTTAAATTCCTTTGCAAATGTAAGTTAAAAACTAGATTAAAGGGTCAATTTTGGGAAAGTTTTAGGGTCCACACTGGTTTTATGTAGTCTCATATTGGGTTTTTTTTTGGTTCTTTAGGGCCAAATTTGTATGATTAGCACAGGGACTATATAAGTTATTGATCCTCCCTTGCTGTGTCGTTCTAATATGTGTTCTTTTAGGCCTAGTGTCTTTAAAAGACTGCTTCTTGGTGTTTATAGAGGACATTTGTCATTTTGAATAAGTATACGTGCAGGAGTAGAAGATATATTAGTGTCATGTTAATTAAACTAAACATGTGAGATATGTCAATAGTATCATGAAAACACTTGCAACTGTTTGCACTTCAAGTCTTCAATGACAGAAGCAATTGTCTGGAGATCATATATTTGCGCTTTGCCTATTTCTGCATCCATTCTAAATTTGTACTCGTTGTGTAATATTGTGTATAGAGAGAAACATCAGAGCTGAACACGGAGAATAAACACCTCAAAATGCGGCTACAAGCTTTAGAGCAACAAGCTGAACTTAGAGACGGTAAGCCATTTTCCTTTGATCGTTCTGAAAAGATATAAACAGCATTATATAATAAACCAAGTTTCGAACTTGCAGCTTTGAATGAAGCGCTGCGGGAAGAACTGAACCGACTCAAGATAGCTGCCGGAGAAATCCCTCAAGGGAACGGTAATTCATTCAACCGTGCTCAGTTTTCGTCTCAGCAATCGACAATGAATCAGTTCGGAAACAGTAAGAACCAACAGATGAGTACAAACGGGCAGCCATCGCAGCGCCCGAGCTTCATGAATTTCACCAAGAGAGGCTAAAAAGTTCGAAAATGTTGGCTTTATAAAATACAGAAAATTCATTTCGGGCTGCAATATTTGATGTATGTATGTATGTATGTATGTATGTAGTGTGGCTGTTGTGTTGACTTTGATTGTCATGTCTAGATATGTTCGTTGGGATATCGGTCTTTACATTTTATGAGTAGTATAAGTTATTTAATACTCCAGAAAACCTTTATAGTACACATTTCTACAAGTCATTTTACCTCTAAAGACGTAAACAAAGTAATATTCCATTATTCATCACCACCAATGTGTTTAAAACCCATGATATAAATAAAAGAAACTAACAAAATTTCACGCTGATTGAAACCGAAATCGGGATTACAACGGAGGGAATTAAAGCAGATGGCGCTAAAGACAACGTAGCAATAAGAACATACGAAAAAACTGCAGCGTCTACTTGTGAGCTGGACAGATGCAGTTGTTGGGTCCTACATCCTTAGCAAGACATGGTGGTTGAGACCCATCCTCATACCAAACAGTTCTATGTTCGACCAAATCTTTCAGAAAATGATCAAGCTTCTCGATTGTAACACTTGGCATAACCACAACATGAGCTATATCCCCTTGGCAAGCGAGCTGCCACCTTCTCACAAACTCTTCATCTTTAGGACGTTCAAACACAACGGTGCTGCTAAGCTCGTTGAGCATCGCGCTGATCCCGGATTCGCGGAGCCTGTCTTTGAGGTAATGAGCGTTCCTCAGGCATTTCTGAACTTCTTTCTGGAACCCTTTGTACCCTTTTCTGTTCAAAGTGTACCATAAGAACAAAGGCGCGTGCCCGTTTCGGCTTCCCATGATCGTTGCGTCACGCGAGGCGAGGTACTCAACGTTCCTCGAAAGGACTTTGATGTGTTCCATTCTTGTTATCTGAACACCACAAGGCATTGGACACCCGACGAATTTGTGGCCCGACACACTCACACTTCCTATCGGTTTATTGAATGTGACTTTTGGTGCCTGCGAAAGAGAAGTGAATAAGGAAAGCTTACCTCAATAATTTGTTTTTAAGACTATGTATATACACTTACACGTTTGACAAAAGGCATCATGAGACCAAAGAGAGCTCCATCGCAGTGAATATAGAACCTATCATGTGAGAAGCCACACTCTTCAAGAGTTTTGATTACAAGGTCGAGATCATCGACAGCTCCTTTAACAGTTGTTCCTGTAATAAGATGTAACAACCATCAGTAAAAATTCCAACTTTCCCAATACAAAACCAAGTAATAAAAGATTAAAAGAGACATCAAACCTATGTTGACATTAAGAATCGCAGGTTTATCTTTGTTCGCCAACAGTTTTTTCCTGAAATCATCACAGTCAATCTCCCCGGTGATGAGTGTATCAACCTTCTCGCACTCCATTCTATACATACGAGCTGCTTTGAACACAGAGTAGTGCGTCTCCCGCGAGGCGTACAGAATCCCATCAGGAAACATTTCCCGCCTGCAAAGATTTTTTAAACAAAATTAAACACCGAAAAACAGGAAAATCTATAGAAATAGAGATCGAAAATCGATCCGCACGCACCCGATTAAGATCCCGTGAAGGTTTCCTTCTGTGCCACAGTTTGTGATGTAACCCCAATAGTCATCTCTCTCTATCTCCCAGAGTCGAGCAAACCAATCCAACACGCCGACTTCGAATGGCCTTGAGTGTACACCATAGTTGCTTTCGATAAACGGATCTCCAAGGTTGTTGATGGAGAAATGCTGCAACTGTCCAAGCGCACCGTAATCGAAATCCAAGTTGTATGGATAACCTACACCAAATCATCACTTCCACAATGTCAAAAAACTTTAAAAAACTCATTTCTACAATGTCAAAAAAAGTTAAAACCATTTGTAATAATATCGATCCACTTGGAGATTAGACTGGGATTATAAAACATATGATCTAGATCAAGGAAGATTTAATTTCATTAATCTAAAATAATATTTGGATCGTTCAATTCACCGATTCCTCAACAAAAGCTTGAAAATCTCATTTCTACAATGTCCAAAACTTGGTAATCTCGTCTCTACAGTGTCAAAAGCTTAAAAATATCATTTCTACAGTGTCAAAAACTTAATAATCTCGTGCAAATTTTGAAACCAATTTTCTTGGAGATTACTCTGGGATCTACAGTAATAAATATTTGTCTACATTAAGGCAAATTTACTTTCATGAATCTAATAAGATGATGAACGTTGTTTTGTTACCTAGATGATATTTGGTTCGTTCAACCAAAGTTTTCCGGTAACGAGCTAGGACGCTAGCCATGTAAGCCTCCTTATCTCCGGTGAATTCGTCATTAGACTCCGGCTCCGTTACGGCAAGAGACGTCGTGTGGATGTTCCTGCCGAGAACCATTTCTCTTTCTCCTCCTCCGTTAATTACCTTCGTATTCTTCAGATTCTCTTCCTCGTGATCTGCTTCGGTTACAGACGTAGGTAACGGCTCGGTTACCACAGCCGTTGGATCGAAATCAACGGATAAGATCTCGATGTTCTCGTTCAAGGTCGTCGACATCGCCAGGAATTGATCAGATTCCAGAGCTCCAACCATTGTAATATAAAGATGCGAGAAAAAGATGGAGAATCTCTTAGTGAGTGCAGATCTGAGAGAGAGGAGAGAGAAGGAAGTGATTGGTGGAGAAGCGGTGGAAATGGTGGGACAGAGACACAAATCGAGAGAGACGCGGCTTCGATAATTTATAAGTAGCCAAAAATGATTCTTTTTTCCCTTTTGCCCTTTCGTCGGCACCTGTGCTCGCCACTCGCGAGATTTTCATTTATTCTAATTAAAATCTGTTTTGCAGCCATGAGGTTTTTTATTACTATAATGTATAAAATGATGTTGTGAATTAAGTAGAGATAGAACGAATTGGTGTGTCTTGAAAGACAACAAGAAACTTGGGTTCAGAGACTAAGTAGAAAAACTTGGAGAACAAATACAACTTGGAAAACAAGATCTTGAATATGATTCTTTTGACCAAAAAAAAAAATATTATGAGCTTATGAACTTATAACAGAAATCATATATTTCTTTAATTTTTGAAGTATAGCACATTACACATACTAAAAACATATTTTTATATTTGTTTTTTTTAATTTTAATTATTTTTTGTTTTTATTATTATATTAACACTACTTTTCTTTTTTAATAAGTATAAATCTTCTTATAAAACTAAATATATCAATTAAAACTTAAAACAACAATTTTTTAAAATAAAGAAAAACCAAAAATATTTTAATTTAAAAAATAAAAAAAATAATAGTTTACAATAGCTTTGGATTGCGGGTCTGATCCGCCCCACCTCACCCTCTTTGTTGTGAATTCAGATTATTTTTGCCTGTAAAAAAAGTACTCGTTTGACCCACGGATTGTAGATCTGCTACCAGCACTCGCCACGCATTAATCAAGCGGATTTGGTGGATAACCCGCCAATCATCTCTCCTCCAATTATTTTTTTGTCATGATAACAACAATCTCTAACACCTGTAAATTCTTGTACAAAAATTCTTTTTGCTTATAAAATACTCCCTCTGTTTCATAATAAGTGTCATTTGGAGAAAATGTATCTGCAATATATATGGATGTATTAAACTCAAAACACATCCAGATATATCCAGTTACAATGCAGATACATTTTCTCCAAATGACACTTATTATGAAACAGAGAGAATATTGAATTTTGATTTGTCGAATCTAAGTGTTAGGGTTTTTCTGGGTAAATATTTGAATATCAATAGAAATTCATGAATAAATAAATTAATAGTTAAAGGAAATTTAGGTGGAAAGAGAAAAATCAGATAAGTGAAAACCACTATTAAAGTGAAAGAGAGAGATTTGGATCCAAGATGAGAGAGACAATGATGAGGACATCAAGTCATCATCAGCCAAGGAGCAAGGAATCAGGAAGCATGAAGTGGAGAATATGAAGCTGGGGAGGTTTAATGAGACATACGAGCTTTGTTTATCTCAAATGAAGGCCAATAACAAATATTCAAACTCAACAAACCACATGAGAGTATACTCAACTCATTTAAGAATCAACAAAAAAGGAGTTCATATGAAGAAGATATTGAAGATACAAATTGGAAGATCTTCAATGGACCCGATGGAGATATACGACTACTAATTAAATCATTGCGGTCAAACCAAGATTAGCCAAGCAACAAAACTGGATGTTTCAGATTCTCAACTCATCAGAGGCACGCCACGAATCAGAGTCATCTCAAAATTCGTCATGGTGTAAAAGTTATTCAACTTCTAAGCCAAATGGTGTTCTGCTTGCCTTATATGGGATCTGACGAGTTTAATCACTTGCAAAACCAAAGTTTGGTGACCAGGAGAGGCATCAAACCGTTCAGAAAATACCAAAGGATCTGATCCAGAAAATCAACTCAATAACCGAGCTCAAACTAGCCAAAACCGAGAAGCACTTACCATATTTAGAACCAATTATCTTGGTTTAAAGATAAATAATGAAAACCAAGGCCAATGACCATATCATTTATTCAATCTCGACCCTCCATCACTCCTAGAAGATTCACTATATTCATTTCGTGCTGAAGACATAAAGAAGATCTCCCTTTAACATTTAAATTATATTAAAAGGAGAAATTTTTTTTAAAAAAAAATACATAACTTTTAAATAATTTAATCAAAAAATAAAAATCCTACCATTTTGAGATTTTGTAGTAAAAAAAATAAAAGTTTTTATTTTTCATCAGTTTCATTTATTTCGTCAATCGAGAATTATATTAAGTTCTACTTCATTTAGAAAAATATCTTCAAATTCAATAATAACAAGACTAATCTCATATAGTGAATCAAAATAATTATTAACTTACTTTGATAAATCATATTAATTATTAATTTACTTTAAAAAAAAATCAAATTGATCATTTAAACTCATTCGTATAATTGTTTACAAAAGATATGTTTTCATCGTATTTTTTTTTAATAACAAGAGTTTTTATTTTGTTTCTCGACTGAAAGAAACACACCGAAATATAAAACACACCTCAAACCTAGTTTCAATACAATTGTTTGGGAGTAAATTTCGGGATGCCACGTGAATGAATCTGATTTGTCGTCGTTCGTGCGTGGGAGATTTGAACTCTATAATGAGGAAACAAAGAAGGAGGATCTCGGTGAACTCGAAATGGGTTGTCCTTCCGATTACGCTCCGACACTCTAGTCAGAAAAGAAATGGGACTAGACGAAGCGTATCTAAAGTATCGGAAGAACGGATGCAGGACGCTCTATCCACTCGAAGGGATCCTGATAGAGCTTCTTGGAAGTGGTGTTCTCTAATGAAAATGAAGTTAGAAGATGAAGTTATCGCTCTAGATGTCTCTTCCTTTCGTTGGCGCGAGGAATGTGTTTTTATAGATGATACCTGATTCTGGGTTAGGCTCGGGTTCGGATTCCCAAGTTCTCCGGATCGAATACTGATTCTCGTCCTTTGCCATGATTATCACCATTCCCGGATTCTTCCATATGTGTAGTCAGAGAGAAGGTTGCCAACCTATTCCACTTTTTCCTAACCGCCATCATTGCACCCTCTTTAGTAAGTGCGGCGCACTTACTACGCCTCAAATTTCCGCCACGTTCATTACCCACCCGTTGAGTCCTCGCAGGCCGCGTTCACATTTTGCGACCCAACAGCAATCTAAATCCAATACGATGAATTAAGTCTTTACAAGTCATAGTTGGAAACACCTTAATAAATAAGTATAGTAATCCTTCAGTTGAACGAATCTGTTTCACACTTAAATCACCGTAATTCATAGATCCCACAAACGGGTTAAATAAAATAAAGAAGATTTGATATCCAGTGGTCTGATACTTATTGTTTTTTTAACTACCATGCTTATTGTTTTTCAATTATAATATTTTGCTTATCATCTTTTTATTTTTATTTTTAAATCCATTTAAGTATCACATCCAACGTATGATAAACGATTTTTAAAAGAATTCATATATTCTATAATCTGAACTCTTAAAAACAAAAATAATTCACTAAAACTGTTAAAAGTTATAGATGATTTTTAAACCTATTATAAAACAAAAATCCAAATGTTCATAAATCATGAGTATGATTTAGTAGGCATCCAAAATTTAAAAGTGTTTGTTCGATTTAATCTATTTCTTTAATTGAATTATATAATTAGAGTAAAAATAAATTTATATGAATATTTTAAGTTGATTAAAATTTTATAATATCTTAACATATTTTATAAGTTAAATTGTTATATATGTTTGAATGGATATACAAATATAATATTTTAGATAGTTTAAGTTGCTAAAAAATTATTTTAATATTTTAAATTAGATAAAAAAATAATTTATTATAATATTTTAAATTGATTCAAATCTGAAACTTTATAACTAAGCTATATTTACTAAGACTCTATCTAACAAAATTTATATTGTTATTAATAAAAATTATTAATATATATTTAAAATCAATTAAATTACTTTCATATCAAATAGTTTTAAAATTAATATAAAAACATAGTTTACAGATTTCTTCTTCCATGCATGATGCGGATTGGTACCTAATAATAATTTAAAATGATTAAATTAATTTAATAAAAAGTAAAATAAAATAAAAATATGAGTTTGTACCAACTTGCCATGGGAATCAAGTGGATTATTTTTTGTTAAAAAACTACTAAATCGAAAGAAAGAAAACCAAAACAAAACAAAATAAAAATTGTTTTTAAATTAGGTGTTGTCTCATACTTTATTTTTAGAAAAACAATATAAAAACTAGCCATGAGGTTTTAGCGTTTCATATACATATATATATATATATATAATCTAAAAAGGTTGTCAACTTGCCATGAGACTGTAATCACATGGCCTTTTTTTAACAAAAATATTACTAAATCGAACAAGTAAACAAGAACAAAACAAAACAAAACCCAACTTAACAAATATAATAGAAAATAATTTAAAACTTTGTGCAAATTTCAATATAATTAAAAAAAATTTCACTAAATCATAAAGTATTTTTTTCTCTTCAAACAAGACAAAAACTGTATTCTGAATTCTAACCACTCTACAATTTATAGTTAGCACAAAATTGTATTAGTTCATGCAAGTCATTCCGTGCAATGTCTATATTACATGGCTTGCATTTCGAGATAAGCTATCTATGGAAGCTATAAGTGGTTAATGTGGAGACATAGAAGCTTGTATAATTCACGCAGAACCACTATAAAACATTTGTTTTTCGAGTGTCTCTACTCTTTTACGATTTGATTTATTATGTGCACAATTGAAAAATGTTTAAAGTTCAAATTTGTCTGTGATGCAGGATAATTTATACCCCATATTTATCTCTAATAACAGTTCCCGGTACACAGTAAATACACTAATATATTTGTTGAACCAGAAAATCACCATTAGGGTTTATGATTAACGGTTATGGGTTTTAGAAAATAAGATCTTTATTAATAGCTCAAAAGCGAAGTGATTACAAGAGATAGCTTTAACCGAGAGGTTAGGCCGAAGTGAAAAAGAAAGTATTAAAGCTATAAACTACAAAA